GTTGAGTTTTAAGCCAGCTTTTTCATTCTGCTCTTTCATTTTCATCAAGAGGCTCTTTAGTTCCTCTTCACTTTCTGCCATAAGGGTGGATAATTTGCATATCAGAGGTTATTGACATATCTCCTGGGAATCTTGATTCCATTTTGTGCTTCATCCAGCCTGGCATTTCACGTGATGTACTCTGCATAGAAGTTAAATAAGCAGGGTGACAATATACAGCCTTGACATACTCCTTTCCCAATTTTGAACAAGTCCATTGTTCCATGTCCAGTTCTTTTTTTTTTTCTAAAAATTTTTATTAGAGTATAGTTGCTTTAAAATATTGTTAGTTTCTGCCATACAGAAAAGTGAATCAGCTAAATGTATACATATATCTGGACTTCCCTGGTGATTCAGTGTTGAGAATTTGCAAGAAAAGCTATGACAAACCTAGACAGCATATTAAAAAGCAGACATCAGTTTGCTAACAAAGGTCCATATTATCAAAGCTATGGTTTTTCCAGTAGTCATGTACAGATATAAGAATTGGACCATAAAGAAGGCTGAGTGCAAAGGAATTGATGCTTTTGAACTGTGGTCCTGGATAAGACTCTTTTTTTTTCTTCCATGTCTAGTTCTGTCTGTTGCTTCTTGACCTGCGTACAGGTTTCGCAGGAGGCAGGTAAAGTGATCTGGTATTCCCATCTCTTTAAAGAGTTTTCCACAGTTTGTGATCCACACAGTCAAAGGCATTAGCGTAGTAAGTGAAGCAGACATAGATGTTTTTCTGGAATTCTCTTGCTTTTTCGACGATCCAGCGGTTGTTGGCAATTTGACCTCTGGTTCCACTGCTTTTTCTAAATGTAGCTTGAACATCTGGGAGTTCTTGGTTCACAAACTGTTGAAGCCTGACTTGGAGAATTTTGCTAGCATGTGAAGTGAGTGCAATTGTGCAGTAGTTTGAACATTCTTTGGCATTGCCTTTCTTTGGGGTTGAATTGAAAACATCTTTTCCAGTCCTGTGGCCACTGCTAAGTTTTCCATATTTGCTGGCATATTGAGTGCAGCACTTTCACAACATCATCTTGTAGGATTTGAAACAGCTCAGTTGGAATTCCATCACATCCATTAGCTTTGTTTGTAGTGATGCTTCCTAAGGCCCACTTGACTTCTCACTCCAGAATGACTAATCTAGGTGAGTGACCACACCATCATGGTTATCTGGGTCGTTAACATTTTTCTGGTATAGTTCCTCTGTGTATTCTTGCCATCTCTTCTTAACATCTTCTGCTTCTGTTAGGTCCACACCATTTCTGTCCTTTATTGTGCCCATCTTTGGATGAAATGTTCCCTTGGTATCTCTGATTTTCTTGAAGAGATCTCTAGTCTTTCCCATTCTATTGTTTTCCTCTATTTCTTTACATTGTTCACTTAGGCAGGCTTTCTTATGTCTCCTTGCTATTCTTTGGAATGCTGCATTCACATGGATATATCTTTTCTTTTCTCCTTTTCATTTTGCTTCTCTTCTTTTCTCAGCTATTTGTAAGGCCTCTTCAGACAACCGTTTAGCCTTTTTGCATTTCTTCTTCTTGCAGATGGTTTTGCTCACCACCTCTTATACAGTGTTACGAACCTCCGTCTATAGTTCTTCAGGCACTCTGTCTATTAGATCTAATCCCTTGAATCTGTTTCTCACTTCTACTATATAATCGTAAGGGATTTGATTTAGGTCATACCTGAATGGTCTAGTGGTTTTCCCTCCTTTCGTCAGTTTACGTCTGAATTTGGCAATAAGGAGCTCATGATCTGAGCCACAGTCAGCTCCCGGTCTTGTCTTTGCTGACTGTACTCTCGGTTTTGTCTTGCAGTTGTACTCTTGGGCATTCATCCCAGAGAAATGAAAATCTGTGTTTACAGAAAAGCCAGTGTGGCAACTGTCCCTAGCAGCTTTGTTTGTCATTGCCCCAAACTGGAAAAAACCCAAATGTCCTTCAACAGGTGAATAGTTAACCAGACTCTGGGTGATGCATACCATGGAGTACTACTCAGAAAGAAAGATGAACAAACTGCTGATACATGCAACAAGTAAATGAATCTCTGAGGGATTATGTTGAGTGAAAAAAGTCAGTCCCAAAAGGTTGCATTTTGGATTTTTCCCTTTTTGAACATTTTTGAAAATGGCAAAATTTTAGAAATGGTGAACAGATTAGTGGTGGTTAGGGCTGAGGATGGATGAGGGGTAGTTGTGGTTATAAAAAGCAACAGAAGAACTTCTTGTGGTGTTGGAATGGCTCAGTATCTGACTGTGGTAGTGATACACAAACCTGCGCATGTGAAAAAACTGTACAGAGCTCAACACACACATCCAAGTAAAGTGGGGATATCTGAGCAGATCAGTGGGTTGTATCCATGCCAGTGTCCTGACTGTGATATTGTATTATAGGTTTACAAGATGTTGCCTTTGGGAGAAGCTAGGTAAAGGAATACACAAGATCGTATACACAGGATCTCAATAAAAATGTCAGATCTGAAAAATAAATCCTTATTTCTGCCAAAGTCAACCCTGTCAAAAGCTCCTGTGGGGAGGCAGACTGCGAGGAGCTCCAGGCTGTCCCATGCCAGGGTCGGCAGTGGAGGTGGGGGAGCAGGGCCCTGCGGGGTGCAGCCTGAACCCTGCTGTCGGGCCAGAGGAGGAGCTGAGAGAATTCTCTGGAGCAGCTCTATTGGGTCAATCAGCCTCCAACTTCTTGAGGGGATGAAGCACTTGGCTTACGCCCCAGTTCCTCAGAACCAGTGGAGGTTTGACATTGGCGGTTGGGAGGCAGGAGTGGGGAAGGCTTCCCAAGACAAGCTCGGATGCGTGTGAGTCCATCCTGATGGTGCCCAGTGCACGCGCCATCGTCATGTTTATTTCAGACCCGCACTGTGCCGTTGGCTCTGGTGTGAGTGTACTGCTCTGGGTGTGGAAGGGGGTCCCCAAGATCCCCACGCTCCCAGTAGGGATTCTCAGAGGTCAAAATTATCTTCACAGTAATACTTAGACGATTGTTAATTACTCTCATCTTCTTAACAAAAGTGTACAGTGGAGTTTTTCAGAGGCTTCATGATGTAAAATAGCAACGTATTAAATGCAGAAGCCGGTCTGAGACTCTAGCTGTTTGCTATGAAGCCAAGACAGTGAAAAGACTTACAAAAACAGAAATGAATGCCACTCTTCTCACTTCTTTGTTTGGAAAAATAGTGATATCCTTTAAAATATGTTATTTACATTAGCACATAATGGGGTTATTATTATTAATTTTAATTGGAGGCTAATTACTTTACAATATTGTAGTGGTTTTTGCCGTACATTGACGTGAATGAGCCATGGGTGTACATGTGTCCTCATCCTGATGCCCCCTTCCACCTGCCTGCCCATCCCTCTGGGTTGTCCCAGTACACCGGCTTTGAGTGCCCTGTTTCATGCATCAAACTTGGACTGGTGATCTGTTTCACATATGGTGTAATATACATGTTTCAATGCTATTCTCTCAAATCATCCTACCCTCACCTTCTCCCACAGAGTCCAAAAGTCTGTTCTTTATATCTGTGTCTCTTTTGCTGTCTTACATATAGGGTCATCATTACCGTCTTTCTAAATTCCATATATATATGTTAATATACTGTATTGGTGTTTTTCTTTCTGACTTACTTCACTCTGTGTAATAGGCTCCAGTTTCATCCACCTCATTAGAACTGATTCAAATGTGCTCTTTTTAATAGCTGAGTAATATTTTTAAAAATGATAAATGTTCAAGAATTTTTTTTTTCATTTTTAATTGGAGGACAGTGTTGTGTTGGTTTCTGCTGTACATCAACATGAAGCAGCCATAGGTATACACATGTCCCCTCCCTCTCTTCCACCCCATCCCACCCGTCTGGGTTGTCACAGAGCACCAGATTGAGCTTCCTGAGTTACACCAGCAACTTCTAACTGGCTATCTGTTTTGCATATGGTAATGCATCTGTTTCAGTGCTACTCTGAATTCGTCTCACCTTCTCCTCCCCCTGCTCAGTTTTAATTTTTTAACAGCTTTGAATATTGCTTTAAACTACATACACAAGTGCTTGGGGGTCCTCAATAATTTCTGGGAGGATCAAAGTGTCTGACACAAAAAAGTTTGTGAACCTTTGAGTTGGAAGGAAGCCCTTGATCAGAAATCAGGAGACTTTAGTTCTGGTCAGGACTTTGTTGTGTGACCCTTAGCATGTCATTTAAGCTCTTTAACTGGTATTTCATCTTTTGTAACTGCTAATAATTATCCTGGTCTACACATCTTAAAGAAAGGTAAGGTAATTCTTTGTGAAAGGCTTTGAAAAATAATGTCCCCCCCCCCCAAAAAAAATAATGTCCCGTTCAAATTTAAGGGAATTTAATAGTTATCCAGGTAAACTGATATTGGAAGAAAACATAAAGGATGAGGCTCATGGCATGTTAGTGGACATCCTGCTCAGCTTTTAAACGTCTTCATGAAAAAAAAAAAAGTCTTCATGTTTGTATTTCCCCCTAACAGTTTCCTTATATATATATTTTCTTCTGTTTCTCAGACAACCATTTTATAGTTCTTTTAGTCAAGAAGGGATTTGTATTCTTAATATCTTAAAGTAGTGCCATAAGGTCAGGTGCTGTGTCTTGTAGAAACCACTTACTGTGTGACTTTAGGAAAGTTATTTAACCTCTCTGCATCTTGGGTTCCTTACTTGTAAAATGCAGCTAATGATCATTTACTTTCCTGGGCAATTATAAGTCTGAAAAATAATGCCCAGAGGCTCTTTGCCAAGTGCTTGGTACATACTAGACGCTCCATAAATGATAGTTGCTATGATTGTCACTAGCACAGGACAAAAGATGCAAAGTTGAATTTAATTCTCTTACTCTGTCTTCAGTAAACTTGTTATTAAACTACTTTATTCACAAGTTTACTAGTAATTTTTCATTTCATTTGGGTTTTTTTTTTTTTTCCTTTTTTTCTGCTTTGAAGGGCTGTTGAGTGGCCAGACGTCCCCAGCAAACACCAAACTGGAGAAACTGGATTCTCAGCAAGTGCTGCAGCTCTGTCTCCGCTATCAGGACCACCTCCATCAGTGCGCCGAGGCCGTTGCTTTTGATCAGAACGCTTTGGTGAAACGAATCAAAGAGGTAATGGATCGAGAGAAAGTAGCATGGCTGACTCAGTCTTGTGATTGCCTATGTCTCCTGAGTCCTCTTCTCCTGGGGTTTAGCACCACTGACCCCACTTTTCTGGGAAGTAGTCATTTTCTGTTTCAATGTCTTGACATTTGTCCCCATGACTTTGGGAACATCGTCTTTCCCAGCAGTAAAATGTGATGATGGAGAAGAGTGGTCTGTGGAGTGGGCTAATCTGGAGTTTGAATCCTGGCTCCCCGTTTATTTGCTTGGGAAGGTTACCTCCCTTCTCTTGATCTCAGTTTCCTCATATGAAAAATGGGTCTAATAGTAGTAACCTTCCCGAAGGGTTGAGTGAAGATTAAATTGCTCAGTAAATGTTAACTGTTGCTGGTATGTGTGAAGTCCTGCCATACTAATTTGCTTTGACTGATACTTCAACTCTTTCCTGTGTGTAACTTATATTTTGTTTTCCAATCGAGTATCACTTCTCTGAGAGCAAAGCATCTGACATCTTACTCAATTATATTTTTCACTGTGTTAGCAGGAAGAGCTCAGATTCTTATTGGTTAGATAAAAACAATTTGTGCCTACTTAACCCACAGGGTTTTTGTGAAGACACAAGATAATTCACATGAAAGTACTTAGTAAATGAAAGAGTGTGTGGTACACTTGTTAAATAATTATGAATAACAATAAGTGGGTACTTCTTTTAAGCATTTAAATATATCATTGACTGGGCCAGCGCATCACACAGCTCTGGGAGCACCAAGGTATAAGTAAGTATGTTGTCAAAAATTTTCAATCAAGAAGGAATTTCTCTTCTGATACCTTGAAGTGATGTCATATAAAGAAAAGGTCAGGAGCTGTAACTTGGAGAAACTACCTATGTGAATGGCATTTCCTGAAGTTTAACAAATTAGTCCTGGTCATTGACTCTGGCAAGAGAAGATGGACATGAGGAAACACACAGGGGAAAAGTGGAGAATCACTGCAAATTAATGATCAGTGAGTAACAGAAGTACTACCTCCTTGAGATGACAAAGTAGTCGTTAGCTCTACTGATAGATGTAAATGTGCCAACACCTCCATTATTTTACTATTTACTCTCCCTAGGATGTTGTGTGCATATATGCTTTTCTTATGGACTAACTACTTTTATATGGAAAAGTATTAAATATGACCTTTTTTATTGGTCAGCATGCATGTGGCCTTTTCGATATTAGACTTATTTTGCTACATTATGGTCTGCAGAGCTTGAAGTTCCAAACATGATTATGCATTAGAATCACTTGTGTTTTTTTGTTAGTTTTAGTGTTGAATTCTTCTCTCCTCTCCTGTAGGCCTAGCATGTGGTGTGAATCATTATTTTAATAAACTTATTGAATGATACAAATGCGATTCTCCATTACATGGGATTTAGGAACCACTGATCTAGAGCATTATTTTCCAAGATGAGCTCTGTAAAACTGGTTCCATGCAAAGAAGGCCAGACTTTTTGCATATTTTATTACCATCCTCAGAAAGTCCCAATGCATATTATCTTATTAAAAGTTCTTAGCAATGTTACAATAAAGAACATAAGCACTTTTCAAACTTATTTGATTTTGGAACCCTTATCTTGGGTAACATCTGTTAACATCTTATATAAATAGTCTTTTTTAAAAGTTGATCTTTAGCATCTTCACAGCACACATACCCTCTGACCTCTCTCTCTCTCTCTAAAAACAACAACAGTATTTATTTTGTTGCGTTGGGTCTTAGTTGCATCATGCAGGATCTTTATTCCGGCATGCGGGCTCCTCACTGCAGCATGTGGGCCCAATTGCCCTGCATGATATGGGATTTTAGTACCTTGACCAAGGATTGAACCTGAGTCTCTATTGGAAGGCAGATTCCTAACGACCGGACCACCAGGGAAGTCCCAGGAGTGGTATTTTTTTAGAGCTTTCTTTGGGAAATGCTTCTGTAGACGTAAGACCTTACCATATTTGACTGTGTTAGACATTAACTGTGTCATTAATTTTTAGATTTTAGAATAAATCAACATTTTATTGTTTTCTCTCTTCTTTTTGATAGGGTCTTCTACTCCATACCTGTCACTTCATAGTTTAGGAAATTGTGGTAAAGAAAGATTAAGTGACTAGCTCACTGTCAAAGATCTGGGTAAAGTATTTTGTAGTTGATAGTGCCAGACAGACAGAATTCATTATACCACACTTTCAACTCCAGAGTGGTTTCTTGGGCCTGAGTGTTAGAATCACCTGGGAATTTTTACTCCAGTATAGGTGGTGGAAAACTTTACACACACTGAAGTAGGCAGATACTGAGACCTTTCCTGTCTTCACTGCTACTGTCCTGTCTGGCTACTGCAAACATCAACTTGTGAAGACCCCTGTTTCATCCACACCCCCCACTCACTCCCTGCCACCTCCCCAGCTGGTCTCTTTTGCAGGAAATATCAGACATATTATTTCATTCATGAATATTTAAGCATATGTATCTTTAAAAATAGAAGACCCCTTTAAAAAACTTTTTAATTTGAATTACTTTCAGACTTAGAGAACAGTTCAAAGCATAATGCAGAGAATCCCTTATATGCCTCTCATTACTTTTTCTAAAGTGAGCATCTTACAGAGCCTTAGCACAATGACAAAACCAGGAAATTCACATTGGTACAATACCATTCACTAAATGTAGATCTTTTTTTTTTTAAACCAGTTTTTCCATTGACAAAGACTCCTTTTTGAAAACACAGCCAGAGTGCCATTATCATACTTAAAATATCGCCTTCATTCATGCAGTATAGCTGAGATGCTTTTAAGTGATGTGTTGATTTCACTGCAAACCAGTTAGATGGAAATTTTTGAAGGGAGGTAGGTGGTGGATGAAGGAAGCCGGGCCAAAGGTGTTCGTGAGCACACTCGGGATAATTCTCATGAGTGACCAGGGTTGAGCACCAGTGCTGTGGAGCATTCATTAAAGACAGTTAAACTGAGTTTAAAAATTCTGTGTTTGAGGAGCCTTGGAATTCGCTTTGAGCCATCAGTACTGGTCAGGACTGTTGCCAAGCAGAGACAGCAGGCCCGGTGTGAGCCGTGCCTCGTTAGCTTTCTTACGGCCAAGGAGGTCAGCATAGTTGCAGGTTTTCATTGGAGACGTGTCATCTGTTTGGTGCAAACTCCTGAAACACACGTGTCTGTGTGCGCTCACTTCAAGCCCCAGGGTTGAAATTAGTCACTTCCAAAGGAATAAAGCAGAGGATGTCGTTTTGATCAAACACCAGCTCGCTTATATTATTCCAGATGTTTCCTGGAAGTTGGGTTGCAAGTGTAAGGAAGTAACATAATGCTATATGTGTGGAAACGTCAAGGAACTTAATAACCATGGAGAATGTGTGTTAGTGGAAGTAGAACCCGGATCAGCCAGAAGCCCTGAAAGCTGCAGCGCTTGGGATCACTTCCGTTTGGCTGAGAGGGAAATGTGGCTGTAACCATTGCTGATTCAGACAGAAGAAAACCAAGAAGTTAAATGGGCTTTCCTATTGCTAAATGTGGATGATGCTCTTGAATAAAAAATTGATGGGAATTTGTTTTATCAGAGAGGAGTGGATGCTAGGGGTGTCTTCCTTCACACCAGAGAGTCTTGTCCATTGACCACTAGTTTCCCTAGTAGCTTCAGGATGACCCTCAGCCAGCCAGCATGGCTGAGCAGCTATTGTCGACTGACCTAGAGTGAGGGGCTTTAAGGGTTATAGAGAAGCGTGATATGGTCCCTGATCGCTGAGAGCTTCATCTAGGTGAGGGAGCGAAGATACACAGAAGAGTAAGATGAAAGATTGGTGCCATCAGTGTGGAGCACTCAGTTGTGGTTCACAACCGAAGGCCGGGAGAGTTCAAGCACGAATATTCTGGGTTGGGTGAGGCTAAAGTCGTGTCTTCTAGGAAAACTGGGATATGGGAAATGAACGGAGAGGAGAGTATTGCTGGCTGTGGGACCAGCTGAGTCTCAGAAGAAAATTAACCTCGGGGCTTCAGGGGACAGTGGAGAAACTAAACTTGTTCCAGGAAATCTCTCCGGTAAGAAGCAGATGTCAGAACTGGAAGGACCCGAGAGAGCTTCTGGTCCAAGGTCCTCGTGACACAGATGCAGAAATTGAAACTATGGAATTGAAAGTGGATGGAGATCAAATGAGATTTGGGTCTTTTTTCTTTTTGCGGGTAGTATATTAGAACAGGCTAATGGGTTGAGGGTGAAGAGGGAGAAGAGAAGAGGTGGTGGATAAAAGAGACGAGGTGAATTCTGAGAGTGAGGCCCCTGAGGCGGCAAGAGCCCTGGGGGCATTTATTGTGAAAGAACAGGGGGAGCTAGGCAGGTTTTTAAACAGAGGGCGCCTGGCACAGACCAGTCACACCTGAGGAGCCTGTGTATTCTCTCTGAAGGAGAGGCTTTGTTGAGAGTGACTGTTGGGTAGTAGCACACTTGTGAGTCCAGGAGTTATTGAGGGCTCAGCGGAGGTGGGAAGAACTTGGGCCTTGATTTTGTGAGCTGTTCTGTGTGGTGGTTCTAAGTGTGAACTCCAGAGCCTCATTCCTGAGTTCAAACCCTGCCACTGCCTTTAATGAGCTGTGTGACCTCGAGCGAGTTACTTGATTCTTCTTATTTTTAAATCTGGCTGTGCCCACTTGAGACATGTCTCTTAGTTGAGACTTGTGATATCTTTAGTTGTGACATGCAAGCCCTCAGTTGTGACACGTGCGTGAGATCTAGTTCCCCGACCAGGGATGGTTTTCCCCTTGCGTTGCGAGTGCAGAATCTTGGCCACTGGACCGCCAGGGAAGTCCTGCGACTTGATTCTTCTAAGCCTGTTTCCTCTTCTGTTACATGAGGATAAAAAATAGTAGTTCGCCTCAGGAAGGTTCTGGTGAGGGTTAAATGAGTTATTCTGTGTAAAGTATGGGACCATGTCTGCCATATAATAAACACTGTGGTATTAGCTCTTGTTATTGTTT